GGGTGATCGCGACAGGTTACAATGGCACTCCAAGAGGATTAGAGAATTGTAACGAAAGTGGATGTAGTCGCTGTAATGATGCGGCTCCGTGTGGAACAAACCTGGAAACTTGCCTTTGCCTGCATGCAGAAGAGAATGCGTTACTGGAAGCAGGAAGAGAAAGAATCGGTGAAGGTTGCATTATTTATTGCAACACGTAAGTTCGATTCCTTATCAAATGTAAAATAAACTTGAAATTTGTTCGCAAGATGGTTGACATATCTTTTTTATTGTTCAGGTGTCCTTGTCTTGGTAAGTAGATTTACTTCAAATACATCCGATATAGTGGCTACTAATCTTTCGATTGATCTGATCCATAATCTCGCTGGAACTTTTTTTTAATATTAGGATGCACCATCAAATTAATCCAAGTGGGCGTTAAGGAAGTCATCTATAAAAAGTATTGAATCGTTTCTATTATCGCAATTAGTCAACCTATCCCTTATCTGAATCGCTTTGTCAATTAAAATAGATCATACAGCATGGATAAAATGGCCAGTGAACTTCTCGAAAAAGCTGGTGTAAAGTTGAAAAAACACACCCCACTGAAAAGAAGGTTATAATTGCAAAGAATTTTTTTCTTTATGGTTGTTTTATTATCGATTTAATAAAGTATTGATGTTTGAGAGATAATTTGTCAAATGTACATGCATAAGTATTCATTTATTGATTCATCGTCACATAACAGATCATCTTTTATTTATTCGAGAATTAATGTCATTTAATCAATTAAAATATTAATGTCCGAAGCATAAACGATCAGTATCATTATATTTTGTGCACGTTTATTTTTTTATAATACTTTTCTTTGTCAACTGTTTAATATTTCTGATCTTAATTTTTTTATTATTCTGTTTTCTTTTATAATTTTTTATTCTCAATTATTAATTTTTGTAAATAAACATAATTACTTTACTAGGTGTATACAGTATATAGAAATTTATACATAAAAAAAGCAACATCTTTCAAATAACAATACTACAATATCAGTGAACTTTCTTATGAACCATATTTTAGTTATATAGGAAAAGTCAGATTATTTCTTAAATAGTATTAAGCAACTATAAATACCTATCCAGAATTAGTGTAAATTATATTAGTTATTGTTTTGTTATTGTTTTATTGAATATCTAAGAATGAAAAATATATTGTTTCTAAGTTTTTTAAATAAGATTATAAAAAATAATAAAGTTAATATACTATATATACAGTATATATTTTTAATCAATTTGTAAAACCTTGCTTAATATATTTTATTTAATTTATATTTGTAATACTTTTATAAATTCAACTGTTTATAAATATATATCAAACTATATCAAATTATTTTTATATTAACTTGTTGCTATTAACTTGTTTATAAGTATTAATTAAGATTAATATTTTAAGACTTTATTAGAATTGCTATTATATAAGTAATAAAAATTATTATTATTATATTTTATTACTAGTTATTTATTAATTTTTTATATATTTAATATATCTTTTTATAATTGTTTATATTATTATATTATTGATTTTTTTTATATTATTTTTATTATTTTATTTCTTAATATATTTTATTTGTTTTTTATTAATATTAATATTCTTTTTTTTTTATTAAAAATTATTATATCTTGATTTTATAACTTATATAATTTTTATTATTATTTGACTTATAATTATTTATATTGTTTTTTTTAACTTTAATATTATTGATTTAATAATAATATAAATTGGTTTTTTATTAAAAATATTTTTAATTATATAGTTTGTTTAAAAAGTTTTTGAACAAATTTTTAATTTAATTTATATTTATAATTTAATAACTATTTAATAAATATAATAATAATTTGAATATATAATAATAATAATATAAAAAACAAATTTACTTAATAGACTTTTATTAATATATTATTGAAATTTATTAAAAATTAATTGATAATAAAAAAATTTTTTTTTAAAAGTATTGTAATCAAAATTAGTTTGATCCATATCCAAGTAATAGTTTTTAGAAGAAATTTAGAGATTATATATAAGGATCTTAATAATTCTATATTTGATTCCATTCGATTTTAACTCTTATATGGTGCCTATCACCTTAACTCACATATTTTTTTATAGAGGGTCCAATTTTTTTATGCATTGTCACGTGCCAGATCACATGACTTATAGTTACCGGTAAATCATGTGACGCAACGCGATATAAC